TTTGAAGAGTTTTAAAATTTTTTTTTAAGTTAACTCAACAAGTGACTTTAGCGGTAAAAGTGATTATTATTCTCCTAGAAGTCACGAGTTTAAATAATTACATTTGTAGGGTGTGTATACATTGTCAATAACTAAAAAAGATTCTAAAGAGATACTACATTGTAAAGCATATTTTGAAGAGTTTTAAAATTTTTATTTAAGTTAACTCATCAAGTGACTTTAGTGGTATAAATGATTATTATTCTTCTAGAGGTAACGAGTTTAAGTAATTACAATTGTAGGGTGTGTATACATTTTCACTAAAAAATAATCTGAAGAGATACTACATTGTAAATCATATTTTGAAGAGTTTTAAAATTTTTATTTAAGTTAACTCATCAAGTGACTTTAGTGGTAAAAGTGATTGTTATTTTCCTAGAGGTCATGAGTTTAAGTAATTACATTTGTAGGGTGTGTATACATTGTTAATAAGTAAAAAAGATCCTGAAGAGATACTACATTGTAAATCATATTTTGAAGAGTTTTAAAATTTTTATTTAAGTTAACTCATCAAGTGACTTTAGTGGTAAAAATGATTATTATTCTCTTAGAGGTCACGAGTTTAAGTAATTACATTTGTAGGGTGTGTATACATTGTCAATAACTGAAAAAGATTCTGAAGAGATACTACATTATAAATCATATTTTAAAGAGTTTTAAAATTTTTATTTAAGTTAACTCATCAAGTGACCTTAGCGGTAAAAGTGATTATTATTCTCCTAGAGGTCACGAGTTTAAATAATTACATTTGTAAGGTGTGTATACATTGTCAATAACTAAAAAGGATTCTGAAGAGATACTACATTGTAAATCATATTTTGAAGAGTTTTAAATTTTTATTTAAGTTAACTCATTAGTGACTTTAGTGGTAAAAGTGATTATTATTCTCCTAGAGGTCACAAGTTTAAGTAATTACATTTGTAGCGTGTGTATACATTGTCAATAACTAAAAAAGATTATGAAGAGATACTACATTGTAAATCAAATTTTGAAGAGTTTTAAATTTTTTATTTAAGTTAACTCAACAAGTGACTTTAGCGGTAAAAGTGATTATTATTCTCCTAGAGGTCACGAGTTTAAATAATTAAATTTGTAGGGTGTGTATACATTGTCAATAACTAAAAAAGATTCTAAACAGATACTACATTGTAAAGCATATTTTGAAGAGTTTTAAAATTTTTATTTAAGTTAACTCATCAAGTGACTTTAGCGGTAAAAGTGATTATTATTCTCCTAGAGGTCACGAGTTTAAGTAATTACATTTGTAGGGTCTGTATACATTGTCAATAACTAAAAACGATCTGAAGAGATACTACATTGTAAATCATATTTTGAAGAGTTTTAAAATTTTTATTTAAGTTAACTCATCAAGTGACTTTAGTAGTAAAAATGATTATTATTCTCCTAAAGGTCACGAGTTTAAGTATTACAATTGTAGGGTGTGTATACATTTTCACTAAAAAAGATTCTGAAGAGATACTACATTGTAAATCATATTTTGAAGAGTTTTAAAATTTTTATTTAAGTTAACTCATCAAGTGAGTTTAGTGGTAAAAGTGATTATTATTTTCCTAGAGGTCATGAGTTTAAGTAATTACATTTGTAGGGTGTGTATACATTGTTAATAACTAAAAAAGATCCTGAAGAGATACTACATTGTAAATCATATTTTGAAGAGTTTTAAAATTTTTATTTAAGTTAACTCATCAAGTGACTTTAGCGGTAAAAGTGATTATTATTCTCCTAGAGGTCACGAGTTTAAATAATTACATTTGTAGGGTGTGTATAAATTGTCAATAACTAAAAAAGATTCTGAAGAGATACTACATTGTAAATCAAATTTTGAAGAGTTTTAAAATTTTTATTTAAGTTAACTCATCAAGTGACTTTAGTGGTAAAAGTGATTATTATTCTCCCAGAGGTCACGAGTTTAAATAATTACATTTGTAGGGTGTGTATATTGTCAATAACTAAAAAAGATTCTGAAGAGATATTACATTGTAAATCATATTTTGAAGAGTTTTAAAATTTTTATTTAAGTTAACTCATCAAGTGACTTTAGTGGTAAAAATGATTATTATTCTCCTAGAGGTCACGAGTTTAAGTAATTACATTTGTAGGGTGTGTATACATTGTCAATAACTAAAAAAGATTCTGAAGAGATAATACTTTGTAAATCATATTTTGAAGAGTTTTAAAATTTTTATTTAAGTTAACTCATCAAGTGACTTTAGCGGTAAAAGTGATTATTATTCTCCTAGAGGTCACTAGTTTAAATAATTACATTTGTAGGGTGTGTATACATTGTCAATAACTAAAAAAGATTATGAAGAGATACTACATTGTAAATCAAATTTTTGAAGAGTTTTAAAATTTTTATTTAAGTTAACTCATCAAGTGACTTTTGCGGTAAAAGTGATTATTATTCTCCTAGAGGTCACTAGTTTAAATAATTACATTTGTAGGGTGTGTATACATTGTCAATAACTAAAAAAGATTCAGAAGAGATACTACATTGTAAATCAAATTTTTGAAGAGTTTTAAAATTTTTATTTAAGTTAACTCATCAAGTGACTTTAGTGGTAAAAGTGATTATTATTCTCCTAGAGGTCACGAGTTTAAATAATTACATTTGTAGGGTGTGTATACATTGTCAATAACTAAAAACGATTCTGAAGAGATACTACATTGTAAATCATATTTTGAAGAGTTTTATAATTTTTATTTAAGTTAACTCATCAAGTGACTTTAGTGGTAAAAGTGATTATTATTCTCCTAGAGGTCACGAGTTTAAGTAATTACATTTGTAGCGTATGTATAAATTGTCAATAACTAAAAAAGATTCTGAAGAGATACTACATTGTAAATCAAATTTTGAAGAGTTTTAAAATTTTTATTTAAGTTAACTCATCAAGTGACTTTAGTGGTAAAAGTGATTATTATTTTCCTAGTGGTCATGAGTTTATGTAATTACATTTGTAGGGTTTGTATACATTGTCAATAACTAAAAAAGATTCTGAAGAGATATTGCTTTGTAAATCATATTTTGAAGAGTTTTAAAATTTTTATTTAAGTTAACTCATCAAGTGACTTTAGTAGTAAAAATGATTATTATTCTTCTAGAGGTCACGAGTTTAAGTAAATACATTTGTAGGGTGTGTATACATTGTTAATAACTAAAAAAGATTATGAAGAGATACTACATTAAATTATATTTTGAAGTGTTTTAAAATTTTTATTTAAGTGAACTCATTAAATGACTTTAATGATAAAAGTGATTATTATTCTCGTAGAGATCACGAGTTTCAGTAATTATGCTTGCAAGATTTGTATACATTGTCTATAACAAAAAAAATCTGAAAAGATACTACATTAATCATCCTAAATTATTCAAAAAAAAAATTACTTCCATTTTTCGAGTCTAATATTTTGTCTAACCCTTCAAATATTAGATTAGCCTTCGTAATCAAATGAAAAATTCAACCGTATAATATATTTAATATTTCCTTCGTTCCATTAATATTGTCATTCATGGATTTTCTTAGCGATAATTTTTTAATTTTTACTTATTATTATTTAAAATTTATTATCAATATAAAATCTTAAATAATATTTTTATAAACTTTCAGGGAAATAATTTTAAATATTTATTTTAAAATATTTTAAAATAATTACAATTAATTTTATAAAAATTGATTATAACAATTAAATTAATTAATTAATTAATTAATTATAACAATCATGTTTGCATCAATAGTAATCAGTTGTCGTATACAATGGCTAATAAACCTCAAATTTTATTATAAAATTTACCTTGATCTCCTTCAATTCATCGGATTACATTTATGATAATCTCTCTCAAAAATCATGAAATCACTCCAAAATTTTTAAATTTATTGAACATCGATCTACACTGTCCACTATCAAATGATCTCTGTCTCAAATATGTTCTTCATCCCACCAATGACAGCCTCTCCATCGTTGAATTCTTTAAATGAAGCCCTGACTATCGAGAAGCCTAAAACTTGAAAAAACAAATTTTGATTTTTTTAGATTAATTAAATGAGTCAGTTGTAACTTTTTGAAACTGACTGACCTTTTTATAATTTTTTTATATAATTGTTTGCTCCATTTGTAATCTTATTAATAATTAAATAACATGGAAATATAATTTATCAATTAAAAAATATAAAAATATTTTTTAATTACACCTTTTAACATTTATTCCATTTTAAATGATCTAACGACTTGTTTATATTAATTAATCAATTAAATAATTCATTTATAATTATTTAAAATTATACTATACATTTGTAATATTATTATAAAAATGCTCACGTTAAAAATAAGTATTTAAATTATTATTTTTCTTTAAGTTCTTAAATTATATTTTGGTCAAAATAAATTCTTAAACTATGAGACGTACCACTCTAAGTACTTAAATTATTTTTTAGTCAAAACAAACTATGCTCTTTTTTTACTTTAAATCCCTAAACTAATTTTTGTTAAAATAAATACATATTTTTGTATGACACATCAACATTTTATCGACCAAAAACAATTAACTGAAAAATGACAGGACATAAATAATTACATCTTAAGGACTTATTTTAACTAAAAATAATTTAAAGACTTGGAACAAAATTTCCTAATTTAAAGGCTTATTTTCACTTTAAGCCTTGAAAAAAGAAATACCCATTGTTGGGTTAGATATTCATGAGATCATCTCAAATCATATTATTGTTTAAGCAATAGGGTTAGTCCTAGTGATAAACAATTTAAAATCGCTTAAGTAGATATTAAGTTCGAAGTTTTGTGTATACAAAAAATCTCTGTTGTTGAGAGATTCACTTAACAAAACTAGGTGCACGACACGAATCAATTTGAATTAATGAGGACAAGACTCTGAAGAATAGAAAGGGAAAAAATCATAATGTTGTTTTACACTTTTTTTTGGGGAGTTCAATTAGCACAACAAAATTGGAAATCTTCAACTTTTCCTTTTCGGGTAAGATGTATACAAGGAAACAAACTCAGTAGAATTTAGAACATTTTTCAAGCATCATTAAACCATAGTAGTGATGCCATTGAGTCTTGGTCTTGTTCTCTCAGGTGAAACATCTTCCTCCATGGCTTTTCTCTTGTTATTTTTGGATTGTGGCTGCTGCTGCTGCTGTTCTTCTTGTTTCGGTGATGGAAAGCCTATTTTCTCGTCCGGCATCCCAAGCTCTTCTGGTTCTTGTTTTCCATTGTGACTCTTGATTTTGGTTCTCAACATATGGGGCCTAAGTTTCTTTAAATCCGATAATTTGACTGGCTTCAACAAAAATTCTTCTGCACCTTCTTCTAAACATCTAGAAAGAACAAATTATGCCAACAAATAACTTTCAAATTACAACATCAAATTTTTCAGGGGCAGACTAAGGATTTTATACTAAGGGACGAGAAGAAAACATATTATCAAAAATTTTCAGGGAACACTATCCCCTCTATCCTCATATTTACCAAAAATTCTATCATTAGATCATGTCTTTTTACCTGCTGATCCTTGAAGGGACATTCTCAGATGACATAATGACTACTGGTATGTTTTTTAGAGATGAAGATTCCTGCAAAAATTCACAATAAAATATCCCTGTAAACTTCTGAAATTTTTGACAAATTTCTCTCAAGAAACTAATCTAAATCAAAGAGAGGGAAATGGTAGGTCATGTTAAATTGAACCAGATATTCCCTATGTTCCAAAAAGGCTTTTCCATTACTTGGACCCATATTGGCAATTTTTTTTAGGTATAACTATCAATATCTGATCTATTGATCGACTAATCCGAATAGTACTGCAAAGGTGAGGACGACACTGCCAAGCCAATTTGCTCCATTCACAAACACTATAATTTAAATATCTGACGTTGCTTAAAGAATCTAGTACCTCGTATCATTGGACCGTCTGATTGTTGGTCCTCATATTCACAATTTTTATCATTAAAATGTACCATTATTTTTATTATTATAATGCAATAGGGTCAAAATTTATTATTGCAAATAAAATACAGAAGGTAAAATGATAAAAAAATGCCTCTCACGTTTGATTAAATAATCAATTCAGATCTTTTTTCTTTTAGCATTCTCGTTCCAAACTCCTATTCATTTTTTTGTTGGATTATTTTGGTTTCGACATTTTATTTTGGAGCTAAAAGACATCTTCATGGATGAAAACTATTTGTCAACAAGTAGTCAACGCTCTAAAATATAAACGTTTTTGCTCTAAAATGATACGTTAACGACTAAAAAGCTCCCGAAAAAAATAAAGACAATTAATTATTTAGTCAAAGGTTAAGAATATTTTTACCTTAAAATGAAATTTAATCAAATTTCATGAATCTTTTTTGATATTATGCCAATACAGAAATGATATAAAACAACGAATAGAAACCGGGCATACCTTTATTTTCTTGAGCAAACCATAGTCTGTCATGCCAGGCATACAGTAATCTGTAATGACAAGATTCACTTCAACTTCCTGTAAACGCCACTAAAACAGGGAGGGAATTTTACAAACCAAGCAAAAAACCAGAGAAAATTGATAAACATAAAAGGAAAAAGAAAAGAAATAACCAACCCGATGATTGTTAGGAGAAACAGAGGGTGTATTCGGGTTGATTCCGTCATCTTCACGTAAACCCAGAAATTCTAAAGCTTTACTTCCAGAATCAACCGTAGTAACTGTCAATAGAATCAAATCAAAAGTCTAAAACAAACAAAACAAAGCAATAAAACTGGATAGTGATGAAAGGAAAATTTTCCCATTACCCTGATATGAAGAGGTTTTAAGTAGCCTTTCAATAACCTTTCTATCTATGATGCTGTCATCAACAGCCAGAACATGAAACTCTGAATCTGCTGCCATTCCCATCGCTCCAATTCAATTTCTAAACACCACACACAGATTATATGTAAAAGCAATGAGATTGAGAAGGGATTTTTCCCCTTTTCTTTAAAGATAAAAGGATTGGGTTGAAATTAAGAGGCTAGAAAGTAAGATCCGACCAAATTTCATCCCAAATCTTGGAAAAAATTGAAGTTAGTTGATTATGAATTACTGGGCAAGCAAGGGTGGAAAAAAGAAATCAGAATAAGAAATAGTAAACGAATAAAATAATGAAATGAATCTAAATGGGGATTTTTTTATGGATAGAGAATGGGAGAGTGAATTATATATTTTAGTTAAATTATACTTATGACCACGTAATTATTATTATTTTTCATTTGGATCATTAATTTTTAATTTTATCAATAAGGTCACCTACCTATTTAAGTATTGTTAATCAAGTTGTCGACCATTACATTTGACGAAGAAGGTGAGATGAATGTTAAAAAATCCAAAGGACAAAGAAACATTGATATTTTCTATAGCAGAGATGTGAATTGCAGGGAAGAAGATGAAGGCATGATTCTTTCAAAGTAGTTTACATATACAAGCATGAAAAGGTGACAAAAATCAAAGAACTGGAGTTGGTGGAGTGGTTCAGGCCAACTTCTCATTTGTCCCAAGATCATAGTTTCCCAATTGCAAGTATTACTCCTCCGATGAAAATTAAATTGATAATATGTAAATATTAAATATCATATATATAATTATAATATTTTTTTAACAATCACATCACCTACTCAATTAAATATTAACGATCAATAGATTAATTAACAACACTTAAATAATTAGATGTTTTGATTGATAAAATAAAAAATTTGATTGTTAAAATAAAAAGAGATAATAATTAAATAGTCATAAGAATAATATATCATATATTTTAATAATTTATTTAACATTATTGTTTTTTATAACTATGAGATGAATATAAAATGATATATATTTAAAGACTCTCAATTATAATCGTTTGATTTATACTATTTAACATTTTATAATTAAGTTAATGTGATTATAAATTAATATATATTCTAAATATTCTTAATTATTTTACTATAAATATTCAATCATCCTAGTAATCAACTAATAAGATTCCTTTAATAAGTAAATAAAGTCGGTTTGTGTTATTTAACATTATTATTAAAGTGAATACAATAAATACATTTTTTTAAGGACACCTTAAAATTGATAAGCTGTTTAAAGAGGAAGAAAAATGATGAGGTGGGACCCACGAAATCCTAGAAAGAGATATGGATGGTGGGTTTAAATGTGAAATCATGCGGCGCTGACCATAAGTTGAGCAGGTGAGAGGGGGATGAGGTGGCATTTGGCAACCAACTATTACACCCAATTTCTTTTTTTTTTTCTCTCTCCCAACTTTTGCTATCCCCGTCCCATTACGCCATTCCCCATTATTGAGTTTTCTTTAGTTGGCGGAAAATCTATTACTTAACCTTCTCTTATAATTTAACCTAACCGGAAGATTCCATGTTTGGGTTGACATGAAGAAAAAAATCATTTTGATTAGGAGTGCAAATGATTTGAACTTAATGAATAATATTATATTCGTGTTCGTTTATTTATTTATGAATATATTTATGTCTGATCAAATGTACGTTTAAATTTATAATGCCATGTTCATGTTCGTTTGTTTATTTTTGAATGTGTTTGTATTCGTTCATTTAGTGTTCGTGAACATGTTCTTTTAACGTTAGCTTAATATTAGACAACTAACATTCGTTTTTCACCCTTTTATTTGTAAGTCAAAGAAAAAAAAATTATAATAAAAATTTAATTTAAAAATTATTAAAATAACTTTTAGGTCTATGCACCAAAAATGAGTTTGGGAGTCGGGTACGTGTGAAGAATGATTAGCTCCCCACAACACTTAAAAATTGGTGCCCATTTGATTAATTGTTGTTTTTGCAATGAAAAAAACTTAGAATTCGAATTTAATTTAATTAATGATCCATTTTCCAACTGAATAAATACAGTGTTACTTAACTATCTAAATTTCTAAAGAGAAAAATCAACAATTCATTACATTTGGCTGGAGAGAGTTAACCTCCTAATATGGAGTAGAACGACCCCTCTCTTTCTAACCAAAGCGGTGAATCACTAGTGTTTCTTTTCAAGAACTTAAGGTTTTTAAGGTAAAATGATAATATTTCGACACTTCGGATCGAGGAAAAATATCCTCTAATATAAGGTAGAGCGGTGTTTTTCTTATTCCCGAAATGAAATAAGAAACATCGAGATTTTACGTATGATTTAACATTGGTTTTTATTCAAATTAAAACAATGCAGTAAAATTTTTATTAATCAAAGTTACCAATTCCTTTAAGACGGATAAAAGATATTTAAATATTTATAAATATCGACACAATACCTTCGAATAGGGTCGAACAACCTATCATCAATAAGTTTAAATAGAACAATATATATTTTTCCATCATCTTTGATCAATTTTAATGTGTTATCATTTTAATTAATTTCACTAGAGGATACTTATTTATTTTTAATCACTAGAATCAGACGATCAGTTGGGTTATGATAACACTTTTAAATAATTTAAAATAAAAAAAAAATTGTCTTTTAATTAATTATGAAAAGTGTCGGATTGTGCACATGAGGCCCCATGCCTTTTTAATGAAATAAAAATATCATGCAATTAATAATATGCTTCAAGAAATATTAATAATAATCTAATTAAAAGCCAACTTAATTAATCATGCTTGGCTATAACATAACACAAAAGAATAAAAAACATAGCATGCATATTAAACAATTAACAAGAAGCAAAGGGTTAAATTGCCTTAAAATAAAAATTCTAGGGCCAAATTATAAAGAAATACAACCTAATTTTGAAATCTATGGACTAAAATAAAGCTACCTAAAACCTAGGCAGAACACGCACAAGATTAACCCCTCCACACAAAAACGTGCAGTTTTGTTCCTCTAAACCGCTCGAACAACCCCATTATAAAAGTCCATTTTCTTTTTTTTATTTTATTTTATTTTATTTTATACTCACCCCTTAAAAAAATCAAAAAATTCTCTCAACTCTCCCAAAGCAAAACCTAGAAACCATTGTCTAGTCCGCTCGGAATTTAGCCCCGAACGTTACTCCGACCACTACCTACGGTGGTCGGAGACCTAAAGACTAACCTCATCAAAACCTCTTAATACCCCTGAACCCATATCTAACCCTCGAATCACCAAAAATAAACCACGATGGTGTAGTTCTACAAAGAACGAACTCAAGTTCTTTACCTCTCAGATGATTGTTCGACTCCCCGGTGATATTCAGCTTCCCACATTAGTGACGAAAAAGCTAAGTGTATTGTTCCTCTCTCTTGTGTATTCTTTTGATTTTTTGAGTGTTTTATTGCTTTCGAAAAACTCACCCTTTCCTTTATTTTTTTACAAGGAATTTATTGTGCTCAAATTAGGATTCTTTCTTTAAACTAGAGATCGAAGAAATATTTTCTTCCCTTGAACCGAAAAGATTCAGTGCCTTTTAATCTATTTGGTATTAATTTTTGGTAATGGTCTTTTTGATTTTTTTCTAAAATTGGCGAAAATCTCAAAAAAGGGTTTTATTTCCTCTTTTTGATCGGCGTGTCAAGAATGAGTTGTTGGCGCATGTGTTCTTCACGCGTGGTAGATAGATTGTCACGATCTCTTGTTATTTCATGATACTTCATTAGCCGTTGGATTATTTGGCCACATCCAACAATCAATATTCATGCGACGCAAAAAGGAGCAAAGGTTTCTTTAACCCTTGAGTGATGCCTTCAACTAGGGCCGTTAGATCTTCCTTGATCTAACGGTGTGTATGCATGCGACACTAAGGCTATCATTTTTAGGGTTTTAAAATTCTAACCTACTTAAGATCTAGACCATTGATTCTTCCCTGATCCTATAATGGTCATTGATCGACGTTAAGGCTAACATATGGAACAAACTTCCCTAGTTGGGCCTTCATCCTTTATGTTTTTTGGCCTATTGTTTCTTGGAATCTTCATGAATTGGGCCCTTGTTGGATCTTCCTTAGACTTATTGGACTTGCAAAGTAATCAAACCCTAATTAAATAATAATATACGATAATGATGATGATGATGATAATAATAAATAAAAATAATATAAAATAATTATAATATAAATAATAAAAAAATAAAACATATATATATATATATATATATATATATATAAACTCAAAATTAGTCTTAAACAAAAATTAGTGTCTACAATTGCTTTTTTTGTCCATTATCGTGTAGGGTAAAGGTGAAAAAGGAGTGAATTTTCGTTCGGTATCCACTTGAGCATGTGCATTAAGAAAAACTTCTTTTTTTGAAAATGAATTCGGAAAGCGGTCATATTCTCATTCTGTCATGATATGTTGAAATTGGCTCTAACTTATGGATGACCACTCCATTACAAATTAAATCAAAGTTGGGGGCCTCTCGTCTATGAGCTAAGTCAAGCGGAAATAAACTTCTTGTTGCAAGTTAAGGTTTATTTTTGGGCGATTCCTCTATTACGAGTGACTCCTCCATTGGGAGTAAGTTTGATTTATGGGTGAGTCCTCCATTGCGAGTTAAGTTTGATTTATGAGCGGCTCCTCTTTTGCAAGTTAAGTCTGATTTATGGACAACTCCTCTATTTCAAGTTAAGTTTGATTTATGGACGACTCTTCCATTGCGAGTTAAATCTGATTTATGAATGAATCCTCCATTGCGAATTAAGTATGATTTGTGTGAAACTCCTCCATTACGAGTTTAGTGAAATTTGTGGGTGGCTATTCTATTACGAGTTATGTCAAATGAGAACTAGCTCATTGTTGTGAGTTAATCTAATTTCTGAAGTTTCGAGTCCAATATCATTCATTGTGAAGTTGAAATTTAACTCAAGAATCTACAAAATCATATATGTATATAAAGCCATGAATATGATGCTCATAGGTATGCCGAAAATACATGCAAACATGTATTATCCTAATATTTTCGTTTTTTTCTTTACATGGAAATTTCGATCCTCTTCTTTTGATCTTGAACTTGCCTAATCATTAGTGCAACTGTGAATTCACCTTGACTTCTTAGATCTTCTAATTTGTTGTGGAAAATTTCGAGTATCACAATCCATGAGGCCATGTATTCTTGGGGGGACCATAATACAAATGGAGAACATCTTTGGGTGGCAAGGAACTGTTTATAGAAACAAATTTACTCA